TAGAATACTCCTGTAATATTAAAAAAATATTTATGATATTTTCGAAATATTATAATAACATTATTTTAATTTTTTTTAATAATATTCATGTAACATTCTAGGAACATTTTGCGCTTATAGAGTGTCCGCTCGGCGCAGATTCATGGTGCTCATGGCAGAAAGCAAAAGCCTCTGGTAATCTAGAAGAGTACAGACATAAACCGCCTCTTAACAAAGTAGTTTTCGATGCTGTAAAACCTATTTACGAAGATTTAAGCAATGACGACCTTTTAAACCGTTGCTTAGGAGGCTTTATTCAAAACAATAACGAAAGTTTTAATGCCGTTGTATGGTCAATAGCACCGAAAACATGTTCAAGCGGTAAAATAATATTCGATATAGCGTCAGATATTGCTGTTTGCAAATTCAACGATGGATTTATGAGTATTATGGAGATTATGCAGGTTTTAGAACTAAATATCGGCCAATTAATTTACATACTTTCTGCACTGAAGCAAACGCCCGATGCGTGAAGACTGCTGAGCGCGCAATGTCATCTTACACTAAAGACGCTCGAAAATCATTCAAAACGAGCAGAAAAGAAAACGATGAAGTACAAACATTGATGTAGAAGGACAATTGTATGGTCCAGGCATTGCAGACTAAAGGTAAATTTGATATTTTGCTACTAAACAGACGAAATATCGCAAAGCAAAACTTCAAACTTCATCTCGAAACTACATTTTCAAAGTTGGCGTTGCACGGATCTCAGAAACTGTTCATCCGATTTACTTTAAATTTACACAGAATCTTCTTTTTGATATAATCTAAAGAAATACATACGGATTTTGCGATATGTTAAAAACTTTTTTTTTTATTAACATTTTTTTAACGAAATTTTTTGGCCAAAAATACAACTTTTTTTCAAAGGTTCGCCATTTTCGTAAAAATCAATATTTCGAAATATCCGTATGTATTTCTTTAGTACCTATTATGTAGAAAATAAAACTTTTTTCTTTTTTGTTCTAGGTCCAACCGAAAGTTAGATCCCCGCAACGCCGATTTAACAGTCGCAGCAAAACGACGTTCAATGTAATGGCTGTAGTGTCGCCATTTTTTATTAAAAAAAGAGATAAAAAATATATAATTTTACAGCTAAAGACTTGATCTATAAAAGCCTTAAAACAAATTTTTCATCACTTTAAAAAATCTTCGGCGAATTTCGTGACTATCAATGGGGCCCCGAGAGCCCAGGGATAATTGGAGAACGATGACATTATCGTTGATGATGATCGAGAACGATGACAGCTCGTGTGCATGTGTGTGCGTGGACGTGTGCATGTACGTGTATATACGTATACACGTGTGTGTGCATGTGGTGCGCGTAGGGCTATCCTTTTTGGCTGAACTTTTGCACCAGTTCATCTTTCTTCCTCTTCTTTCCTCCTGGAGAGAAAAGGAAGAAAGATGAACTGGTGCAAAAGTTCAGCTAAAAAGAACAGGTCTATTACGCAGTAGGTACGCAGTACGCAGTGGCGCAGTACGTTGGACTTGGACATCTCCCTCACCCTTCCTCAGCCCCGCTGCCCTTAGCAACTTCTGTCGTCACGGTCGTCACAACTGTCACAAGTAATTTCTCCTGTCTATTCTGGTCTGTTCTTGTTGATTCCTGTCTTGTCTTTCCTTGCGATCGTGTTCTGAGCTACGTTTCTTACAACCGAGATGGACTGGTATAAGGTCACCGATACCTTGAACTGCATGCTGAAATCTTCTCGACTTAATGATGAGATAAGGAACATGAAATACGAAAACGAGTTAATATCTCGTTTGTTGCACAATCAAGAGGTTATGTGAGTACGATCGTATAAGTTTACATGTCGCTCATGGAGAGCTTTTCGTTATCCCGACTTTCGAAATAGTCTTTTTTTTTCATAATTCTAGCTAGATGGTGAAAAGTTTATATATTAATTTGTTTCTCTCAAATGAAATTTTACCCATTCTATGATCCTAATTAGCACTTTTAATTAACTATAATATATATGTGTTTGTCCTATTAGTGTGTGAGTTAAATTTTAGCAATAAACAAAATTAATTTTAATTAATGGAAGTGTACACTTTAAGATATATTGTTTTCTTTTAATTGGGATGCAGGAAATTTATGTCCTATTGGCTGAAAGATTTGTATAACACAAAAAATGAAAGGAAACAACAAAAGAACTTGGAAAAATCAACAGCTTTCAAGTTATCTGGAAACAAGGAGTTTCAATCGAAAAAATATGTAGCGTCACTCGAATCATATACAAAAAGTGCGACATATGCTCCTTCTAATAGTATAAATTTGTCAATAGCAATTGCAAATAGATCAGCCTCTCTATTCTACTTGGACAGATGGCAGGTGAATAAAAAACTAGTGTGAACTACATTATAATATTTTGGCTTACAGCCATTTATTTATTTGTTTTCAAAATTCATTTTATTTGTAATAATGAATTCTATATTATTTATTCTATTTATTCTATTTATAAGCATTACATATTATTATAAGTTGTTTATATAAGTGTTATTAACTCTGATAATACAAAGGATTGCATCAGTGATATCAATTTGGCGATTAAATTGGGTTATCCTGAGAATTTACGTTATAAACTACATCTACGTGCAGCTCAGTGTTACCTAAAATTACATAATAAAACATCAGCTGTTGAAACTGTCTTACAAATGCATAGCATACTGAATGAGCATAATATATCAAATGAAACAAAAGGCAGGTATTTATTTCATATATTTAAATTTGAGAAGAAAATGATTTAGATATATATTTTTTTACATTTTTTATATAATCAATTATTGAAATTTTTAGAGCAATTACAGAGGCAAATAAATGACATAATGTCGAAAGTATCATGCATGGAAGAAAATGCAGATAGTACTACAGATACTACAGAATTTCCTTCATTACCTGAAGTCGCATATGGTGAAAATCCTGATTTTCGATGTGCATCGGCAGCCGTAGAAATAAAATGCGCTCCAGAAAAAGGAAGATACGTTGTAGCTAATAGAGATATCAAAAGAGGTCAGATTCTATTCGTTGAAAAAGCGTTTGCTTTTGTCCCATTATGTCACATTAAATCTGATAATTGTTACAATTGTTGTCGCTCGTCCGGTAATACTCCTGTACCGTAAGTTTTATATTTCTTATTTTTTGAGGAATTAATTTTAAAAAATATATACATACATATATAATGTGTTAAATTATATAGATGTACAGAGTGTGTCGACAGTACATATTGTAATATTACTTGTTGGGATGAAGCACGCTCGTCTTACCATCGTTGGGAATGTCTCGGCAATCAAATGGGTCTTTGGGCAGAAATTGGAATAGCATATCTGGCTATAAGAATGTTGTTTAAATGTACAACTGCAACTGATGATAACAGACTTAATGAAGTACAAAAGTTAGTGACAAATTTTTCCAAACTTTCACCGGACGACGTTATTTCGTATGGAATCGTAAGTGACATAATTTTTGCAAAAATGAAATATGCGACATATGCATATAGAATTTCTTCATAAAACTAATTTTTATTATATTTTTATTATTTCTTCCTTTCAGACGGCAATTATGCTTATGATGTATTTATCGAAGTATACGGATTTTTTTAAAGATGTCAATCTTAAAGAATGTTTAGTATTAAAGTTCTATAAGGATTTTAACTGTGATCTCACAACAGAGGATGATGAA